AAGGAAAGCCTATTGGAACGCATTAAACTTAGTTTAATGCGTTCCAATAAGCGTCCAAACTTACCCCTCCAGCGATGTTTTCACGTCCGGCGGCCATTTTGGAGCCGCCGATCAGCTGATCGGCGGCTCCAAAATGGCCGCCGGACGTGAAAACATCGCTGGAGGGGGAAGTTTGGACGCTTATTGGAACGCATTAAACTAAGTTTAATGCGTTCCAATAGGCTTTCCTTGCCCGCACAGCGATGTTTTCGTATAGCGAAGGTTAATCCGGAACGGATTAACCTCGCTATACGGGGCACCACTGTACAAATGCACAAATTGTCAGTCTTAAAAAGAACATGGAAGTGGAAGTGTTCACTGATAATACAAAGATCAAGTGCTTAATACTGTCTTTTACTCAACCAAGAATGAAGAACTGAAGCAGTGATAGCACATTTAAGTTACTAAATTTTCTATAGATATACTTTACATTTATACACACTTTTAACAGTTAAACATAAGTCAATAAAAGATTACATATTTTAATTAACTGATATGGTTCTGGAATAATAATATAATTCAGAAATGAAGTTTGGGAATTTCTAGAACGGCTTTATTAACTTCATTAACTTCATGGATTCAAAGTTAGAAAAATTCTTCTGCAAGGTCCACTATTTTTCATTTTGATAAAGCAATTCATTCTGAGTAACTACCACACTTAGTGTAACCATGGATTCACGGCAGGAACTTGATCACATTTCCCCCCTAAAACCTGTATTTTTGTCGCCATGAGACAACTCAATTCATTCAACTAGTGAGCACAGTACGATTCCACACATCTGAAGAGTCATGATTTTCACAATAATTCTTTACTCTGTTCTACTCCATGTAGTCCTTTAAATAAAGATTACACATAAATAAGTGCCTGTCACCACCCCTGTCTTCAGAAACAAATCAAGGTGTCAGATTTAATTTTAAACCCCTAAATAAAGGATGACAGACTTTTGCTACACCGACGATGTCAGACTGCAATTCCCATCTCTCATGACCAACATAGCTGATTGAAAGGATGATGGGAATTTTCCACGTTCATTCAACTGAGGTCCGTCCCTCTTGTACAGGCCCATCATGTCCCAAAATTTTCCACTTTTCCAACCCAAAATTAAGAAATCTAAGCAGGGTTTAGCAAGTGGAGGGGGAAAGGGATCAAAGCAATCCCTGTGGCTGCACTAGGGGGAAAGGGATCAAAGTGATTGTGGAGCCATGGGATTGCTTTGATCCCTTTCCCTCTCCTTTTACTAAGCCCCACTTAGATTTCTTAATTTGGGGTTGGAAAAGTGGGGAGGGGGTCTTATACATGGGGGCATCTTATATATGGAAATATACGGCAAGTTTCAGTTTATTAGCCCTCATCCAATCTATTACTATTACTGGAGTTGCAGATTTGATTAACAAGGTTCTGCAGGCCCCAGGGAGCACTCTAATCAGGGCTCCATTGTCCTCCTGAACCTCCCTCCCTTCAGCCCCTTGCAATCACCAGAAGGGCAAGGGGATGAGCTAAGAAAAAAACATAAAAGCCAGGACTCCTAGTGAGTCCCCTTGCTTGAGCGCGAGTGCCTCCTGCAATGAAGTGCCACATTGCAACAAAGTGCAGGGTAAGAAGACACAGCAAGTTAAGCAGCTGTGCAAGTTCAGCAGCAGGGTGAGGAAGCCAATGCCCCAGATACTAATTGTCACTTCCCTTGAGAAGAGGTTTGGCAAACTCTAAACAAATATCAGCATGCAGTCAGACAGACAGCAGTGGGTTGGGCACTATCCTGTGTTTTGCAGCAGGTGTCATATGTGTGACTATATGCCTCTTGGGCAAAAGACATGGGTGTGTCCTCGTTGCAAGGAGCTCCAAGAACTCAGAGAATGGGTTTGCTGCCTTGGGGTCTTGGTTGTGGACCGGGAGAAACAGACAGGGAGAGAGGAACCACAGCAAGACTTCCAGAGACCTTCAGACATTGTCCCACCCACCCACAAGCAGCTCCTCAGCTGCTGGGATTAGAAGTCTCCGGGTTGGAGGACGCCAATCTGGACAAGAGGGAAACCATCCCCTAGAGGGGACCCCTTCTACAGGTGATGGGCCTGTATCCAGTTGCACTGAGGATATTCCTCGTGGGGAGGAGGGAACAGGGCTTCTGGTAGTGGGCAATTCGAATGTCAGGAACACAGCATGAAGGGTCTGCGATGCTTGTGAAGACCACACGGTGACTTGCCTGTCTGGTGCAAAGGTTGTGGACATCATGTCTCATCTGGATAGGCTGGTAGAGTGTGCTGGGGATGAGTTAGCTGTGGTGGTGCATGTCAGCACCAATGATGTGAGGAAATATAGCCACAACGTCCTGGAGGTCAAATTTAGGTTGTTAGGGAGGAAGCAGGGCCAGCTAGGCAGACAGAACGCAGGGACCTCAACTCGTGGGTGAGATGGTCATGTCAGGGGAAGGGGTTTAGATTCATTAGGCACTGGGGAACATTTTGGGACATGCTGGGCCTGTACAAGAGGGACAGACTTCAGTTAAATGAACATGGAACCAGACTGCTGGTGCTCAACATTAAAAAGGTGGCAAAGCAGTTTTTAAACTGAATCCTGGGGGAAAGCCAACAGGAGCCGAATGGCATCCAGTTTGGGACTTCTCATCCCTATGGAATGAGGCTGAAGAGAGTAGAGAACCACAAAGTGATGACAGTGAAGGAATTAGGGCTGGGAGAGTGATGGGCTGAATGAGAAGCTGTGGGAAAAAAGAAACAAACAAGCAGGCCTTCTTGGGGAACCCCATACGCAGGTGCTTTTTTGCAAATACCCGAAGCGTATGAACAAAGATGGGAGAGCTGGAATATTTGGTGACTAGGGATAACACTGATAGTGGCCATAACAGAAACCTGGTGGAATTTGGAGAACCAGTGGGATATAACAATCCCAGGCTATAAACTCTACAGGAGGGACAGAGGGGGTTATGTGGAGTGGCCACCTATATCAAAGAAGGGGTAGAATCCAGCAGAATGGAGACAGATGGCAGGTCTGACTCCATCACAGAATCACTGTGGGTTAAACTATCAGGCCCAAGGATGTGATAGTGGAGGTATGCTATCATCCTCCAGATCGAAAACTTAAGAGGGACCTTGAAATGAGGAGACAAATCAGGGAAGTGTCCAAGAGGGACAGGATTGTAATCATGGGGGACCTCACATCGACTGGGTCAATGTGTCCTCCGGTCAAGAAAGAGAGACCGGGTTTCTTGACATGCTAAATGACTGTGCCTTGGAACAATTTGTCATGGTGCCCTCCAGAGGACAGGTGACTCTGGATTTAATATTGTGTGGTACTCAGGACCTGGTTAGGGATGTGAATGTCACTGAGGGAATAATGACCATGCTGCTATTTCTTTCGCCATGTATGTTGGGGGGAGTGTGTCAAACAAATCTGACATAAAAACCCTTGATTTCCGAAGGGCAGACTTCCCTCAGATGAGGAAACTAGTTAGAAAGAAGTTGAAAGGGAAGGTAAAAAGAATCCAATCTCCCCAGAGTTCATGGAGCCTGTTTAAAACAACAGTAGTAGAGGCCCAGCGGAAGTATATACCGCAAAGAAAGAAGAGCTCAGTCCAAGAGGGTGCTGGCATGGTTAACAAGTGGAATTAGAGAGGCTTTAAAGGGCAAGGAAGGGTCCTTTCATAAATGGAAATCCTTCCCAAATGAGGAAAATAAAAAGGAACACAAACTCTGGCAAAAGAAATATAAGATAATATAGAAGAAAAACTTTGTGGAACATGTGGCCAGCAATATAAAGGGGAATAATA